AAAAGAAGAAGAATGAAAAGAAGAAGAAGAATGAAAAGAAGAATGAGAAGAATGAAAAGAAGAAGAAGAAGAAAAGAAGAATGAAAAGAAGAAGAATGAAAAGAAGAAGAAGAATGAAAAGAAGAAGAAGAATGAAAAGAAGAAGAAGAATGAAAAGAAGAAGAAGAAGAATGAAAAGAAGAAGAAGAAGAATGAAAAGAAGAAGAAGAATGAAAAGAAGAAGAATGAAAAGAAGAAGAAGAAGAATGAAAAGAAGAAGAAGAAGAATGAAAAGAAGAAGAAGAAGAATGAAAAGAAGAAGAAGAAGAAGAATGAAAAGAAGAATGAGAAGAAGAATGAAAAGAAGAATGAGAAGAATGAAAAGAAGAATGAAAAGAAGAAGAAGAATGAAAAGAAGAATGAAAAGAAGAAGAAGAATGAAAAGAAGAAGAATGAAAAGAAGAAGAAGAAGAATGAAAAGAAGAAGAAGAAGAATGAAAAGAAGAATGAGAAGAAGAATGAAAAGAAGAATGAAAAGAAGAAGAAGAATGAAAAGAAGAATGAAAAGAAGAAGAAGAAGAATGAAAAGAATGAAAAGAAGAAGAATGAAAAGAAGAATGAAAAGAAGAAGAAGAATGAAAAGAAGAATGAAAAGAAGAAGAAGAATGAAAAGAAGAAGAAGAATGAAAAGAAGAAGAAGAAGAATGAAAAGAAGAATGAAAAGAAGAATGAGAAGAAGAATGAAAAGAAGAAGAAGAAGAATGAAAAGAAGAAGAAGAAGAATGAAAAGAAGAATGAAAAGAAGAAGAAGAAGAATGAAAAGAAGAAGAAGAAGAATGAAGAAGAAGAAGAATGAAAAGAAGAATGAAAAGAAGAAGAAAAGAAGAAGAAGAAGAATGAAAAGAAGAATGAAGAAGAATGAAAAGAAGAAGAAAAGAAGAATGAAAAGAAGAATGAATGAAGAAGAATGAAAAGAAGAATGAAAAGAAGAAGAATGAAAAAAGAAGAAGAAGAAGAATGAAAAGAAGATGAAAAGAAGAAGAAGAATGAAAAGAAGAAGAAGAAGAATGAAAAGAATGAAAAGAAGAAGAAGAAGAATGAAAAGAAGAATGAAAAGAAGAAGAAGAAGAATGAAAAGAAGAATGAAAAGAAGAAGAAGAATGAAAAGAAGAATGAAAAGAAGAAGAAGAATGAAAAGAAGAAGAAGAAGAAGAATGAAAAAAGAAGAAGAAGAATGAAAAGAAGAAGAATTCCAGTACAGCAAAAAGTGTATCTGCAGAGAGCTCCACTATTTCTGACAGTTCCTTCACATTTACAGCGGTTGAAACATTGTATCTATTTATTTCCGAATAAAAACATCTGTATCCTAAATGGAAACAAATAGATACAATGTTTCAACCGCTGTAAATGTGAAGGAACTGTCAGAGAACTGTCAGAAATAGCGGAGCTCTCTGCAGTGACACTTTTTGCCGGCTGATTGGGGAAAATTCGATTCGTGCATCCGAAGTTTGCTAAAATTCGGATTCGGTGCGAATCGAATTTTTCCTAATATTCGAAACGAATTCCACTTCGCCAAGTTCGATTCGCTCATCTCTATTGGTGACCTCATCTAACCTAAAGTAGAGTATTTTATTAAAATCATAACAAAATTCATTTCATTTTGTTTGTTTTCAGCTAGATTCACATTTTTCCAGTGGATTCAAATTATTTTAATCTAATTCGAACGGAATCCAAATAAAAAAATATCAAATTGATCCAAATTCATTGTGAAGAAGAGTTGGTCCTATTCTATTCAAAATTTGAATTTCGGAAGACGTTTATATTCTATTTCATTCTATTCCATTAAATCTTTTTCTATTCTATTCTTTTATTGTCTATCCCTTTCTGTTGTTCTTTATTCTATTCTTTATTTTCTATTCTTTTATTTTCTATTCTATTCTGTTCTGTTTTACTCTATTCTTTTCTATTCTGTTTTTTATTTCCTCTTCTATTCTTTTCTATACTGTTCTTCTCAATTCTATTCTATTGTATTCTATTAATTTATTGTATTTTCTATTTTATTCTATTCTTTTTTTTCTATTCTATTCTGTTTTACTCAATTCCTTTATATGCTTTTATTTTCTATTCTGTTCTGTTTTACTCTATTCTTTTCTATTTTCTATTCTATTCTTTTATATTCTCTCCCTTTATTTTCTATTAAATTCTATACTTTTATTTTCTATTCTATTCTGTTTTTCTCTATTCCATTCTAATCTATTCCATTTTGTTCTATTCAATTTTAGTGCTTTATTCTCTATTCTAGCTTTTTATTTTCCATTCCATTTTATTCTGAATTTTGGAAGACTATATTCTAACATTAATGCACATAGTCTTTGGAAGAAATCAGCAATAGTCATCAATATATTTATATTTCAAATTTGTCTTCGAATTTGATTTTAATTTGATTTTCAGATGAAATTTGGTTTAGTTATTTTGGATTTGTTTACATTTGCTACTGTTGTAATTTCAAAATGTGCATACATACGTATCTCCGAATAAAGAAAATTTTGTCCGAATTTTGATTTGGAACGAAATAAACTAGTAAGCGTACATGATAATCTCCCACTATGAGGGCAGAATGGAAGACATTCTGTGGTGGGGCAAAAGAATGGAGGGGATAGACACCATCAATCCATGAAATACCCAGCCTTACTTTCTAGTACAGGTCCAGCTAGTACAGAATAGTATAATTGGAATTCAAATATCTCAGAGCTTGACCAAGACATACTGTTAGCCAGTCGATCACTTTAATTCCACATATTTCTGTCAATGGCTAACAAGGTACACCAGTCTACAATTGAGAATTTTCAATAAACCAGAGGAAAGTCTATGGAATGCTTTGTACCCTGCTGCCAATCTCTAAAACTTAAATATTTAATCATTCCCTCTGTAATATTTCTGAAAAATGTAGCAGTAAGTTTTACATAAACTGGAAATCAGTTTTCTTTCATTTAGGTATTTCCTCTGGATATTTATCTTTCAGCCCTTCGTATTATTCAGGATCCTACATTCCTCAGCAAATATTTTTTTTTTTCATTTCATACCATTAATCACAGTTTAAATTTAGATACAGATAAAAGTGAGATGGCGTCTTGGAACAGCTTCACTTTTGTTTAGTTACGATCTCTCCAGGAGATTGCATGGGGTCCAGTTACAGGCCTTGAGGAGGAGGAAGAACAAGAGACGCTGATGGAGTAGAGTTCCAGAGACTTGTCTCATTCAAGTTATTCTAAACAACAATCCATTTCAGCCTCCACAAAAGGTTCAGGGTGGTTTAAAATCTCTATTGGTCTGGAAATACAGCAGCAAAACCTTTATATTTTATTATTTTTGTAGTTTTCAGTGCTAGCTGTTGACCATTACTGATTCTAGCAATAATAGAGCACTTTATCTATATGAAGTCAAGGCATTACATAGAACAACTGCAATTGTCTTAACCACTTCCCGACCGGCCGTTGTATATAAACGGCCAGACGGTGGCACTGCAGGGTCGGGTGGCCGTCTATAAACGGCCTCCCCGCACCCTGCTTGTGCGCGCTCCCTGGGAGCGCGCAGCACCGCGATCCGGTGCCCGCTGTGTCCTCCGGACACAGTGAAACACCGATCGTCGGACGGGACCTCTGTACGAGGTCCCGATCATGTGATCACTGATTGGCCAATCAGTGATCACATGCAAAGTAGTAAGCAAGATGTCACTTCTGACATCATTGCTTACTATGTGTGAAATCTGTGAATGATCACAGACGTCACATGGTACAAGGCTATTCACAAAAGCCTTGTATCATGTGACAAGCTGTGACCAATCACAGCTCACTCAGTTCTTCTCAATGAGTGCAAGAATGCACACAGAGAAAAAGAGAAATAATTGCTTTTACATCCTATATGGGTGTAAAAGCAATCAGTGTAAAAAAAATAAATAAAATCTTCATCACCCCTCACAAGTAGTACAGTGTCACCATGGTGACACTGTACTGCTAGGGTGACAGTATGTAAAAAAAAAAAATTAAAAAAAAAATAATATAAAAAAATAAAATAAAAATGTAAAAAAAAATGTTTAAAAATTATAATTTTTGCTTATAAACTAATTTGGATTTTTTTTTTTTTTACTAAAAAGATAACGGAATAAATTTTGGCTAAGATTTATGATGAAATATTATTTATTTGCAAAATTTTATAAAAAAAAACACTTTTTTTCAAAATTTTTGGACATTTCATTTACATAGCAAACAAAATACAAATCCCAGTGGTGAATAAATACCACCAAAATAAAGCTTTATCTATCTCAAAAAAATGGTAAAAAATTCATTTGGGTACAGTGTTGCATGACCGCGCAATTGTCATTCAAAGTGTGATAGCACTAAAAGCTGAAAATTGCCCTGGTCAGGAAGGGGGTGAAAGTGTCCGGTCTGGAAGTGGTTAATGATATGCAAATCATTTTTTCAGGGCAATTTACCAAAAAAAATGGTTGGAGCAAATTGCATTTTTCTGCATTGACAGTCTATGCCAGTGTCTCTTAACCTTTTTTCAGTCAAGGCACCCTTCAAAATTATGGACAGCCCAGAGGCACCCTTTTAACCACTAGCCTACAGGGCACTTTTACCCCCTCCCTGTCCAGGCCAATTTCCAGCTTTCAGCGCTCTCACACTTTGAATGACAATTGCGCAGTCATACGACACTGTTCCCATATGAAATTTTTATAATTTTTTTTGACAGATAGAGCTTTATTTTGGTGGTATTTAATCACCTCTGGGTTTTTTTTTTTTTTTTCTTAAACAAACCAAAAGCCACTGAAAATTTTGAAAAAAAAAATAATTTTTTCTTAGTTTTTGTTATAATATTTTGTAAATAAGTGATTTTTCTCTCCTTCACTGATGTGCGCTAATGAGGCTGCAGTGGTGGGCACTGATAGCCTGCACTGATGGACACTGATAGGTGGCACTGATGGGCATTGACAGGCATCACTGATGGGCACTGAAAGGCAACACTGATACATGGCACTGATAGGCGGCACTGACTATCACTGACAGGCGGCACTGACTATCACTGATAGGCGGCACTGACGCGCACTGGTAGGCGGCACTGACTGGCACTGATAGGTGGCACTGACTGGCAGCACTGATTGGCATTGATAGGTGGCACTGACTGGCATTGATAGGTGGCACTGACTGGCACTGATGGGTGACACTGAAAGGCAGCTCAGATGGGCACGAATATGTGGCATTGATGTGTACTGGTAGGCACTGATATGTGGCATTGATGTGGCACTGATGGGCACTGGTACGAGGCACTGATGAGCACTGAGAGCTGGCACTGATGGACACTGACAGGTGGCGCTGCTGTGGCTACGCTGATCATCAGTGCCCTGATGATCAGTGTAGATGTCCCCTCTGCGGAAAGCTGATTACCGGCTCTCCTCTCCTCACGAGCTGTCAGCATGACATCTTGAGAGGAGAGAAATGCCGATAACCGGCATTTCCCTGTTTACATGTGATCAGCTGTGATTGGACACAGCTGATCACATGACAGAGCCGACATCTTCGGCTCTTTCCATGATCGGTGATCCGCTGTGTCTCATGCGCGGTGAGAAAGGGAAGACGTCATATGACGTCTTCCCAGAACGAGAGAACCACCTTGCGCCCCTCATTGAACTATATGGCGGGCGGGAGGTGGTTAAAGTTATGGACAGCCCCGAGGCACCCCATTCTGAAATGGGGTACCTCAAAACTGTCCATAATTTTAAAAGGACACTCCATTTTAAAATGTGAACAACTATTCTATTAGTTTTATATAACGCAGCAACATCCACACACATAAGACACCAAACATTGGAGGTGATTTATTCTTCCAAAGCAAATACACCTTTGCACACTGGTACTGACTAGTATTCCATTGTTTTTCTTCTCCCTCAGTTTTTTTTCCATCACTGAGCTAATGTGACCCCAGTACTGAAGGAGAGGGGTAGGGGAGGGGCAAACTAGGATGCTGTGCAGGCAGCTGACATCCTCCTTATCAACTGATGATGTCATTGGTTGTCAGAACGCTGGTGGCTAAAAGTTCGTAATGGTGCTCAATGAAAGCCTGTGGCTTTGTGTAACTAAATAGTAGGCTTGTTCCATCTGCTGGCTTGTATACAAGTTTTTGGCAATTGTTAGACATTTTGCCAAGGCACCCACTGAAGAGACCTTAAGGCACCCTGGTTGAGAAAGGCTGGTGTATGCAGCCCTCCTGTATTGTTTCCCATTATCCTTCATGAATACATGGCAAGGGCATGGGGGATAATGAACATGCATGCAATTTACAATAGATATTTTCTATAATTATGTAAGTTGTGCAGATTTAGCTTTGGCCATTTCTGCACAACTTTTCTGCTGAATTTTGAATGAATACCATTGGTCTGCATAAATAGGTGTTTTTATTCTATTTATAAAGTTGAATTCCAGGCAAACAGTTGAGTACACAGATAATATACCAGAGGTTTTCAAAAAGTTTATTTTGTACAAAAAAAGTGCAGAAACTTTTTGAAGAACCCTCGTACATTGATCAACATCATTTTGACCACCTACCATAACATGATCACCCACCTAATATTGAATCGGTCCCCCTTTTCCTGCTAAAGCACCCCTGACCCATGGAGGCATGGACGCCACTACATCTCAGAAGATATATAGTGGTATCTGGCAGAAAGCCATCAGTGGCAAATCATTGCCTCCTGCAACTTGCCTTCTTCTCATAGTGCATCCTGGTGCCATTACTTCCCCAGGTAAGAGATGCACAAACACCCGACCATCCACATGATCTAAAACATGACTCATCAGACCAAGCCCCCTTCTTCCATTGCTCCATGGTCCAGTTCTGATGCTCACGTGCTCATTGTAGGTGCTTTTGGCTGTGGACACAGGTCAGCATGGGCACCCTGACTCGTCTGACACAGCCCAATACACAACAAACTGTGATGTACTGTGTTCTGACACCTTTCTATTGCATTTTCAGCAATTTGAGCTAGAGAACGGCCCCAGCAGCGCTCCCTTCTGGACCGCCAGCCCATAATGACAGATCCGCCGCTGAGCAACATGACATCTCGTATGCACATTTAATGTTATGGTGCACTCTGATGGGCACAACATAGAATGTGTCCATCAGAGTGCCCCTTAACATAACATGTACCCATCAGAGTGCACCTTAATATAGAATGTGCCCATCAGAGTGCCCATTAATATAAATGTGCCCATCAGAGTGCCCCTTAATATAAAATGTGCCCATTAGAGTGCCCCTTAACATAAAATTTGCCCATCAGCATGCCCCTTATTTTATGTTAAAGGGCACTCTGATGGGCACATTTATATTAAGGGGCAATCTGATAGGTCTATTTTATGTTAAGTGGCACTCTGATGGGCCAATTTTATTTTAAGGGGCACTCTGACAGGCACATTTTATGTTAAGGGGGCACAAATAGGTGCATACTGTGGAAAGGGGCACTCTGATGGGCACATGTGATGGAAAGGGGCAGTCTGATTGGCACATGTGATGGAAAGGGGCATTCTGATGGGGAAATATGATGGAAAGGGGTACTTTGAGTGTAAGGGGGCACTCTGACAGGAATAGCTGATGTAAGGCGGCACTGTGATGGAGATAACTGATGTAAAAGGAGCATTCTGATGGGCAGACCTGATATGATGGGAATATATGATGTAACGTTGCACTCTGATGGCGACACCTACTGTAAGGGGGCACACTGATGGGAACACCCTATTCAGACCTCCGCCAGAAGAAAATTTTAGTGGCCGGACCTCCTTGAATTTTAATTCAATACCCCTATTCTACTGGATCTGACTACATGGGCCAACCTATGCTCCCATGTGCATCAATGAGCCTTGGCTGCCCAAGACAATGTTGATGGTCCCCCTTTCTTGGACCACTTTTGGTTGGTCCTGACCACTGCAGACCAGGAACATCCTACAAGAGCTGCAGTTTTGGAGTTGCTCTGACCCAGTCATCTATCCATCACAATTTGGTCCTATTCAAAGTCGCTAAAATCCTTACATTTGCCCATCTTGTCTGCTTTCAACACATCGACTTCAGGGACAACATGTAATTGCCATTGTAACAAGATAATCAATCCTATTCATCAGTGGTCATAATGTTATAGCTAATCTGTGTCAATGATATATATATATATATATATATATATATTATATGTGTGTGTAGCACCGTTTAGTGTGCTACTAGAATAGTGTAGGCAAATCTATTGTGTATGACTCATGGTAACTGTGTGAGTCTATGATTAAGGTTGGGTTTCTGCAGGTAAAGCTGGATGGCTTAACAGGTTGGGACTCTTTCACCTCCACCTGGTGCTGGAGAACCTTCCAGAAGCCAGTGGGCGGAAGAGGTGGAGACCTAATCTGCATGTTTATGGGAGTCTGGCCAATCCCAGGTTTGGAGGCCCTGGTAGAGTGGTGAGACCAGCCCATAAATATGGAAGAGTCAGGCTAGCATGGGAGTCGGGTGGAAGATGGAGTGCTGGGGAAAGTGACAGTGGCCTGAATGGGTCCCCTAGGTCTATGGGGAGCTGGCCTCCAGGCTGGCTCAGGAAGATCCATTCAGCATCACGGTATGAACAGGATCAAGGCCTGGGAGCAGTGGGAGTAAAAAGGACAAAGTCAGTACATCAGCACACCAAGGGATTCACAAGGGGAGTGACTGCCACATGTAGCAAGATTTCAAAGGACAGCGCTGTTCTCCCAGGACAAGAATAAAGGATTTCGATCTTCAGAGCAGCCAGGAGGGCTGGTAATGTCTGCAGACTGTGGAGCTGGGGGCAGTTCTACAGGGGAGAGGAGACATCTCTGCATGTAGTTTGCAACAAGCGAAGCTAACTTTCAGGGGAACTATGAGTCCCTCGCCCATAAGGGGAAGTTTGTACTGATCCACAAAGACTGACGGCTTTCAAGGAAAAGAACAGTCCAGGATCTGTTTCTGCAAATAGGAAGGAAGTTGTCCCCGTGGATTGATTCAGTAAAATTTGGGCATCCCATAATCCCTATTACCCCATCCAAGTTATTTCCCCTAATAAAATAACAAAAACCAAGCTCACAGACTGTTCACTGACTGTGGATGCAAGTGTGGAAAATGCGTGTTGCCTGGCTGTGTGGAGCTTAGGGGGACCTTGAAACACAACGGCCCTCACGAGGGTAGCGCTACATCTAAAGGAGTGGTTTTACCAAATGATTTGTGGGGGGGATGAGCAGTCTGTGATATCACAATTTGACAGTGGTACTAAAGGATTGTTGTGCATTGCCATGGCATCTGGTAGGTCCCATCAGGGGAAGCAAGGGTGCAAACTGACCAAACATGCACAGATTTGCTTCTGTGCTTAGCATGGTCAGGAAAATCATTATACTGAAGGAGCTTGGCCAGACCACCAAATATTTAGTGGGGATTTAACTTCTGGTAAAATGAACTAGCCTACTGATTCTGATGCTTTTTGGATGATTTTGTCCTCTTTGAGGATAATTCATTATTTTAGGTTTCTATTTGGCCATTTATCTGGAGTATCGTTTTGGGAGCTGATGCCTTGATTTGGGAATCCAGTGAGAGTGATTCTATTGACGTCCAATTACATCCTGTGCATGGAGTGCACCGTATTACCACAAAGTCAGCACTAACGGAGTGCGTCATCCTATTTGGGTATCCATACATGATTTACCTGACCATCACTTAATGTCTGGTAAGCGGCAGTATTTTTTGAGGTGCTGGTGATGGTGGATCCTCAAGAAAGTCTCCTTTGTTTTATAATTTGTGTATTTTTTTGGAACCACATGAAATTTTCTTTTTGAAATAATTGGCTCCTTCCACTGCTTCTCCTTCTCCCAGTGTGAGCCCTGCTGTACAATGGATCCCAAGAGGCTGATACCAAGTCCAATTCAGGTACTGGCACTGCTTCTAATTAAAAATGCATTTGTTGATGTCATAATTAATACAAGTGCATTCGTTTGAGCCTTTTATATCTGCCTGGAGTTCAGCCTTAAAGATGTCCATGTATGGAACCTCATACCCTAGGTCCACACCTAAGCGTTTTCCGCAGCGTTTTGCAGAAACGCACTACAGTCCATGTAACATTTCCTATGGGACACATTCACATCTCCACATTTTCGCTCGTTTTTCGAAAAGCATCAGAGACTTTTTTGAACGCAAAAAGTTGCGTTTTTGGTTTTATAGACTTTAATGGAAATGCAGCAGGAAAGCATGTAGTGCATTTTTGCCATGTTTTTTAAGTGTTTTGCGTTTTAAATCTGCCTGGCAACAAGAAAAAAAAAGCAAAACGCATCAAAAACACATAAAAAATGTAAGTGCAAAAATGCAAAACACACAGCAGAAACAGATTAAACGCAAACTGCATAGGTTTGAACCTAGCCTTAGACAGAAGTAGGAAGAATGCAAAAGTCTTCAAACTTGTACATTGTAATTTAAGGAGGATTCTAGGAGCTTTCCCAGGATAAGACTAGGAAATTATTCCAGAACATCCATCAGATAAAAAATGGCACTGACATTAGCATCGCTGTTCATGTGCATTGTCAAAATCTTTTAAAAAAACACAGTAGAACAACATACACGTCTGTCAGGTGGATCCAGAAAGCAAAAATGCTTCTATTGCAACTTTATTTCTTGGTTTAAAGAATATTTGAAATATGAACAAAACAGATCCCTCTGTAGTGTGTACTTCTCTCAATCCAGACTACTAAGTGTAATTTCTGTCTGCTGCCTTGTTCCTTTGCTATCAGCATGAACCACTACTAATGAGTATTCCTGACACCAATATAAAAAAAAAGCTATACAAAATATATAGTAAACTCAAATTTAGTTATAAATTTAGGCCGAAATGTATTCTGCTCCATGTTTTTGGTAAAAAAAAAATCCCAATAAGTGTATATTGATTGCTTTGTGTGAAAGTTATAGCGTCTACAAACTATGGTGTAGATACTGCAATTTAAGCCATTTTTTTGCTATACAGCACTGCGCTAGTTTAATGGACAATTGCGCGGTCATGCAATACGGTACATACATGAAATTTATGTTCTTTTTTTAACACAAATAGAGCTTTCTTTTGGTGGTATTTGATCACCTGTGCACTTTTTATTTTTGGCGCTATAAACAAAACATTTTTTGAAGAAAATTTTTTTTTCTAAAAAAAACAATATTTTCTTATTTCGGTCATAAAAAAATATCCAAAAAAAATTAAATTTCATCATAAATTTAGACCAAAATGTATTCTGCTACATGTTTTTGGTTCCCAATAAGTGTATATTGATTGCTTTTTGTGAAAGTTATAGCACCTACAAACTATGGTATAAATAATGGAATTTACACAGCTTTTACTTTGACTGCTCATCACATTTCTTGAGGTGCTAAAATACCAGGATAGTACAAACACCCTCAAATGACCCCTTTTTGGAAAGTAGACACCCTAAGCTATCTGCTGGGAGGCATATTGAGTCCATGTAAGATTTTTTTTTTTCCACGTTTCTGGAAAATGAGAAAAACATTTTTTTTTTTTTTTTTTACACAAAGTTGTCATTTAAATGATTTATTTCTCGCACAAGCCATGGGTATATGTGGAATTACACCCCAAAATACATTCTGCTACTTCTACCGAGTATGGGGATACCACACATGTGAGACTTTGTGGGAGCCTAGCCACATACAGGAGCCTGAAATCCAATGACCACTTTGAAAGCCTGAAGGTGCGTAACTTCCTCATTTCACTTCCTCAATACCTATCACAGTTTCGAAGGCCCTGAAATGCCAGGATAGCACCAAACCCCCCCAAACTACCCCTTTCTGGAAAGTAGACACCCCAAGGAATTTAAAAAGGAGACATGGTGAGTATTTTGCAGATCTCATTTTTTCTCAAAAGGTTTTGAAATAGAAAAAAGAATAGAAAAAATATGTTTTTGTTTTTTTTCTTCATTTTCCAAAACCTTGTGGCAACAAATGAGATCTGCGAAATACTAACCATGCTTCTTATTAAATTCCTTGGGGTGTCTACTTTCCAAAAAGGGGTCATTTGGGGGGGTTAGGTGCTATCCTGGCATTTCAGGGCCTCAGAAACTGATAGGTAGTCAGGAAGTGTAATGAGGAAATAAAGTCCTTTAAAAGCCTGAAGATGCTTATTGGATTTTGGGGTCCTGTACTCGGCTAGACTGCCAAAACGTCTCTCACATGTGGTACCCCCATACATGGGAGAAGTAGCAGAATGTATTTTGGGGAGTAATTCCACATATAACCATGGCATGTGTGAGCAGTAAATCAATTAAGTGACAATTTTGTGTAAAAAATAAATAAATATATATATCTTGTCATTTTCCAAAAACTTGTGGCAAAAAAATAAATTCTTCTATTGATTCAACATGCCTCTCAGCAAATAGTTTGGGGTGTCTACTTTCCAAAAAGGGGTCATTCTGGGGGGTGGGGGCATTTTATGCCCAGCATTAGAAGTTTTTATGCCACACATCATTCACTCTTCTAACCACCTGAAGACCAAGCCTTTTCTGACACTTTTTGAAAAAAAAAATCTGTATTTTTTGCTAGGAAATTAATTTAACCCCCCAAACATTAGATATTTTTTTAAAGCAGACACCCTAGTGAATAAAATGGTGGGTACTACAATTTTTTTATGTCACATAGTACTCGCGCAGCGATTTTTCAAAAGCAATTTAAGAAGAAAAAAATACACTTTTTT